GACACCGAGTTTTGGGGATGTTCTAGAATTTGTTATGGATTATTTTATATTAATTCACTTTCACTTATTATTTTAACGAAACTGTACGTAACTACGATGCAATTTGATGCACTAACCTCATTACCCAAGAAAGACGTTTGATTTAAAAAATGATAAAATGATCAAAATAAGTATTGGTTTGCCTAACAGCGATGTTTGGTGCCATCACGGCCTATAATGGATTTTGGTTGGTGACATAGTTCTACGGAAGAAATTCTACACCTATAAGATAATGGTGTTTCTTCCTTGTATTTGGGTAGAAAAGTTAATGTAATGTGCATGAAAAAATTGAGGTCAATGTCGTGAAAATAAAAGTTGAGAGAATTCCACTAGTGGGGTATGGGGAGGGTAGGGTGTACGCAGACCTTACCCCTACCCCGAAGGGGAAGAGAGGCTATTTCCGGAAGACCCTCGGCTCAACAAAAGAGATAATAATATCAGAAAAGAACAAAAGAATAGATCTTTAACAATAAAAGAAACCAAAAAAATAATATCAGCATCGTAAGAGACAACAAATAAGTGGAAGGGCAATAACACAATACTATGCAAAACAAAAAATAAATAAATAAAAGAATAGTGTGAAAACAACATAAACTGCTATCAGTCCTAGACAAAACTCTATCAGACTAACCGGTACAAAGAGGAAAAACGCTGGACTACCCCCTAATGTACAACCCTAATGCTCGACCTCCACACATTCTTATCAAGAGCCATGCCCTCGAAAATCTGAAGTCACGCCATATTCTGCCCGATCACCTTGACCCAATACTTTTTAGGCCACCCTCTACATCTTCTCGTACCTGCCAAAGCCAACCGCTCACACCTCCTAACCGGAACATCTAGGTTTCTCCTCCGCACATACCCGAACCATTTAAACCTCGGTTCCCACATCTTGTCGTCCATGGGAGCAACACTCACCCTCTCTTGAATATCTTCATTCCTAATATTATCCATCCTAGTTTGCCCGTACATCCATCTCAACATCCTCATTTCTGCTACTTTCATCTTCTGGATATGTGAATTCTTGACTGGCCAACACTCAGCCCCATACAATATGGCCGGTCTAACCAACGCTCTATAGAACTTACCTTTAAGTCTCGGTGGCACATTCTTGTCACACAGGACTCCAGACGCTAACCTCCATTTTATCCACCCACCCTAATACGGTGCGTGATATCGTCGTCGATCTCCCCATCTCCCTGGATAATTGACCCAAGGTATTTGAAATCTCTCTTGGTAATGACATGTGAGTGAAGCCTCACTTCCACATCCATTTCTCCCGTCACGCTGCTGAACTTACACTCCAGATATTTCATCCTAGTCCTACTCAATTTGAAACCTTTGGACTCTAGGGCCTGCCTCCATACCTCCAATCTCTTATTAACGCCGCCTTGTATCTCATCAATCAGAACAATATCATCAGCGAACAACATACACCATGGCACCTCCCCCTGAATATGATGTGTTAGTGCGTCCATCGCCAGGGCAAATAAGAATGGGTTGACCGTAGATCTTTGGTGTAACCCCATAACCACCGGAAAAAGCTCTGAGTCACCTCCCACAGTTCTAACCCGAGTCTTAGTTCCATCATACATATCCTTTATCTCCCTAATGTAAGCTACCGGCACACCTTTCACCTCTAGGCATCTCCAATGAACGTCCATACGGACCTTGTCATACGCCTTCTCTAGGTCAATAAAACACCATGTGCAAATCCTCTTCCTATCCCTGTACTATTCCACCAACCTTTTGATAAGGTGGATATCCTCCGTAGTAGAATGGCCCGGCATGAACCCCTACTGGTTTTCTGATATAGACACCGCCCTTCTTACTCTCACTTCCACTACCATCTCCTAAACTTTTATGGTATGACTTAGTAACTTAATGCCCCTACAGTTGTTACAATTCTGGATACCACCTTTATTCTTGAATAGCGGAATCATCGTACTCCATATCCACTCGTCTGGCATCCTCTTCGTCCTGAAGATGTACATTAAATAGCTTAGTCAGCCACTCTAAGCCCGCTCTACCCACATACCTCCAAAATTTACTGGAATCTCGTCTAGTCCGGTCGCTTTACCCTACTCATTTTACGCATAGCTCCCACGACCTACTCAACCTTAATATGCCTACAGTACCTAAAGTCTTAGTGACTCTCAGAGTGCCCCAATTCTCCTAGCACGATGCTACCGTCCCTCTCTTCATTCACAAGTTTATAGAAGTACGTCTACCATCTTTTTTTTAATTTGGGCCTCTTTCATCAATACTCTACCTTCCTCGTCTTTGATGCACCTCACTTGATCCATGTCACGAGCCTTCCTCTCTCTCTCTCTCTCTCTCTCTCTCTCTCTCTCACACACACACACTTTGGCGAGCCGAAATAACTTCTTGTCTCCACCTTTCCCCCCAGTTCCTCACACTACCGACCAAACACAGCAGTCTTAGCCTCCATGACCACTAATTTTGCTTCCTTCCTAGCTTCCTTATATCTTACTATGTTCGCTCTCCTCTGCTCCTCGTCGGTGCTCTCAACTAACTTAAGGGACGCTGCTTTCTTTTCTTTCACTTTACCTTGGCCCATGTCATTCCACCACTAGTCGTCTCGGTGTAACCCTTCGAGACCCCTAACACCGCTCTCGCCGCCTCCCTTATACAGTCTGTCGTCGCCGTCCATATAGCGCTAGTATCCCCGCCACTCTTCCAGGCTCACATAGCTTTCAGCCGCCCCTCTAACTCCTGCGCATTATCCTTGGTCAAAACTCCCCACCTAATCCTCGGTTTACCCCACACAAACCTCTTCCTCCTCTTTATCACAATACTGACGTCCATCACCAGGAGCCTATGTTGAGTCACGAGGTTCTCACTCGGGATCACCTTACAATCCTCGCACAACCCCTATCACACCTCCCGAGGATGAGATAATCAATTTGAGTCTTAGCCACCGTACTCCGAAAAGTAATCAAATGCTCCTCCTTTTTCGGGAAACTAGAGTTCGCGATCACCAACTCAAAAGCTCTAGCGAAATCCAACAGTGAAATACCTCATTCGTTCCTATCCCCAAAGTCGAAGCCACCGTGCACCTCGCCATAGCCACCAGCATACGACCCAATATGACCATTGAAATCCCCTCTTATAAATAACTTCTCTGTAGGCAGAGTACCCCGCACCACCTCATCCAACCCCTCCTAGAAGCGCCTTTTAACCTCCTCGTCCAAGCCCGTTTACAGCGCGTAAGTGCTAATGACATTTAGAGTGCTCCCTCCAACTACTAACTTAATCGCCATCAATCTGTTATCCACCCGCCTAACCTCTACCACTGACTCTCTGAGCTCCCTATCTACCAAAATACTCACTCTGTTCTTGCCCTTCACGCTTCCGGAATACCATAATTTATACTTGTCTACATTCTTCGCCTTCCATCCTACCCACCTAGTATCCTGCACACAAGCTATATTAACCTTCCTTTTCTGGAGAATCTTCGCCAGCTCTATAGACTTACTCATCAACGTCCCTATATTCCATGATCCAATTCTCAACCTACAGGCTCCCTTGTTCCCCTTACCCCCTTTGGGGCCCGTCCCACCCCCTGACCCTTGCCCTACCACCGTCCCTCCACCCGCTCTCCCCAAGGACATGACCCTACTCTACCATTACAAACCATTGTCGTTAAACCTATGGTAGTCTAGAAAAAAATGCAAACACAGACAAGTAAAGGTCCAAACTCGAAAGGAACAAATAGTAACTATATGCCCACCACTAAAATGACTAGACTAGTTCGAACTACTATGACAACAAAATAACTAACACGGGAGAAAGAGAAATAAGAGGCGGGAGGTACCATTTCCCGCGAATAGAACCTGGACTTTCGACTTGGTATACTCTCGAGTGTTCCGGCAGTGGCGAAGTCAGGAAATTCAATAAGGGTGTTCGAATTTTGAATACCCTTTGCCAGTGGGCTATGCAAGGGTATTCAAAGTCTATTTTTAATCAATAACAAGTAATATTTTACCTTATACATAGTATAATTTTTTGGCGAAGGGTGATCAACGCCAACATAGCTTCGCCCCTGTGTTCCGGTGTTGATGGCTTGAGGCCTGGTTGCCTGGTTCCAAATTGTGACGCGTTGGTCCATATTTATAGGTTGCTGTGGGACATTCTAGGGCCCAAAAGTCAGTGTTGTGGTCTGTCTAAGCCCTTCTGACAGAGGCATGCGCATGCAAGTGCATGTCATGTTGGGCCTCGGCTCGCTACTGGGCAGCACAAGGATAGGCCAGTAATCGCTACTGGGTCGCACAAGGATAGACGAACTGCTTATAGGCTGTGACTTGAGGCCTCACCATGGCCCATCCCCAAGCTATCACCTCCAAGTACGCGCCGTTGCCAACCTATGCCATTGTTTGCAAGAAATCTACAAGAGTGTAGTTATTCCCCAACATAATAGGCAGTATATTGGGCTGTAATTAGTTTTGACTGACCGAACTAATGTGTAAAAGCCCATTGTTTGCTTAGCCAACTTTATGAGATGACTAGGTAAAAATAGCATGGGCTAGCCAGTTTTCGAACTGGTAATCGAGAAAAAGTGAGTATTTGCAAAGTCATTGAAAAATAGCCATTATTTTATTCTGGACATTATGGAATTCATGCGTATAAACTTTCAGCATATTATGTTGGAATTCCAACACCCATTATGAAATTCCAGCACATTATATTGAAATCTCATATATAATAAATTCAAACTTCAACATATTATGCTGTAATTTTTCTTAATTTTAAGGGTATTTTTATTCAAATTTTATCTTTATCTGAAAAGTTGCTAAATTATGATTAGTTTTGAAATTGTGACTAGATGCATGCTCGTGCCTTTATCCATTAGCCTCTTTTTGATTGGATTGTGACACTCTCCCATTTATTGTTGCAGCATCCTCAGGTACTTCCCAAAAAATGCTTGGACATGGTCATAGAATTTCCACAAGTGGTCCTTATTTCAAATATGAAAAGGGTCAAAGTAGGCGTCTAGAAAAAACAATTCGTATTTGCAAATGATTGACTTGAAGATAAGACGCCATCAGCATAAACTAGTCCTTTGTCACACACACAGACACACACTAACCATGGGAAGCACAGCTATGGAAACCAAGAAGTTAGAAATGTATGAATTTGGCCCTTGTGAAGATGCATTCCAAATTGGCTTCTTTATAGGCCAAAGATTCTCCAAACAGATACGCAGCAGATTATGTAATGACCTTATTCTTCAGAACCAGCTCCTCCCTTTTGCTCAGCTCCCAAATTCCCAGCCACTCATTCATACTTTATCCCAAACTAACAAGAACAAGTTTCCCAATTACTGGAACGAACTCAAAGGAATTGCTGAAGGAAGTGGCGCCCCCTTTCTCAATGTGAAGTAACTTTCATACTAATCCTCTTATGTACAGCCAACTGATACTCCTTCCTTTTAATTTGTGGTCTTAAACATGTCATAACATTGGCATGTAAAACTTCTAAAACGCATGTTCTTAAATATATCATAATATTTGCGTGACTGTAAAACTTTTAACACTTGTGATCTTAAATACAATAATAATAACAAAGCTAGTATATTATTACAAGTGAAATCTGGGGAGGGTAGTGGGCACGCAGACCTTAATCTTACATCTAAGAAAAGGAGGCTATTTTCGGCATACCGTCGACTCAAGGAAAGAAAACTTGTGATCTTAAATATGTAAATTTATGTGGCTATAAAAATTTATTACAAGTAAAATGGGTAAAATTAATTATTTTCAAATATAAAAATATGTAAATTTTTTGGAATGAACTACTATATTAACAAACTGATACTATTTTACTTTTCTTTTGGTCGGTGCAGATTTTACTATTGAACTTTAGGAAAGAGATACTGCCATTCATTCCAAAGACAGAAAGTAATCCCAAGGAAGATGAAATTAGTGCTGATTGTTCATCTATTCTTGTTGCTAACAACTCCATGGCTATGGCTGCTCATAATGAGGATGCAAATGTTGCTCTTGTTGGACACACGTAAACTACCTCTTTTTCTTTTCTACAGCAAGAAATTAATCCCTGTTATGTTCTTGGTGTTTTTGGAATTCGCGCGACTAATTTCCTTGTATTGCAGTTATTTGGTTAAGGTGACATTGTCTAATGGAACATCATTCACTGCTTACACATATGCTGGAGAACTTCCAAGTTGTGCCTTTGGATTTAACAGTCATGGAGTGGTATATACTGATATGCATATTTCGATATATTTTCTTGTCAAGTATTCGTTGATAATCTAGTTCACACTGTATTTATACGTGAGTTATCGATTATAGGCATTTACTTTAAACTCAGTACCACCATGTGAGGAAGAGATAGTAGCTGGTGCCATTGGCAGAAACTTCGTGTCCAGAGACCTACTTGAAGCAAATAGCATTGAGGATGCTCTGGCTGTAAGCTCTAAATTTTCTTTTTTACTCTTTTGATTCTAGTTATTAAGTGTCTTGCATTGGTTAAGTGAATGAGCCGTTGTCGCCTAATATAGCCTTGGACTGTTATTAAGCCCAATGTCCATTTTCTTAACATAGTATCGCAACCTGACTCATTCCAGTTCCTTTTTTGGTAAAACCTGTGAAGATTTTACCATAAACAAACCAACATATGCATTTACAAACTAAGAGCATATATCCAAAGCCTTGGCCACCTTCTACGAAGGTGCTTCAGAGCGTGTTGAAAGAAGTTGATAAGAAGTGCAGGAATTATTTGTGGGGTGGTGCTGGTGAGACGTACCAGTCTCTTGGGAGAAAGTTTGTACTCCTAAGAAATATGGTGGATTGAACATCAGGGGCTGTAAGATATGGAACATAGCCTCTGGGGGTAAGCTGTTATGGCAACTGGCAACCAAGAAGGATGTGCTTTGAGTGAAATGGGTGCATATGAAAGGGACTGTTGATATATGGCAGCATACACCAGCACAAGATTGCTGTTGGTATTGGAAGAAGCTGAATTCCTTAAAAGGGAAGGATGTTGGACTGGTATCAAGGTGGCCAATATTGACTGACACCATCAGGTATATACTCAATGTCTTGCAGTTATGTGGACATGCTGGGGTCTCTCACAAAACTTAGAGAGGCTGACTTAATTTGGAGCTCAATTATGCTGCCTCGACAGAGATTTTTGGTATGGCTACCCTATCAAGATAGGTTACTTACAAAGGAAAGAATGCAAAGACTACACATACCTCTAGATAATGAGGACTGCTGCTTATGTGATGAGGGAGTGAAGGAAACAAGCATGCATTTGTTTGCTGGCTGCAAGTGGATATCTGAAGTGAGGACTATGCTGAGCCATTGGGCTGGAATACATATAATACAAGGGGATGCAACACAGTGTTTACTATGGATGAAAAACAGAAGGAAACAGTTCAAAAAGGAAGTTGTAGCTGCTATTTGGGGGGCATGATATACTATACATGGCAGGCCAGGAATTGGAGAGTGTTTAGGAAAACATTTGTAAATACAGAGTTTGTTATAGCTCAGGTACAAAAGGACATTAGAGTGAGAATTGAAAAGCATAGCGAATCCAGGAAAACTAGGAACTGTCAATACTTAGTACAGAAGTTTTGCAATTAGAGTGGTGGACTTGAAGGTTCTGCCTAGATTTTCAATGGCTGAAGCACCCTCATTTCAATTCTTGATTTACCCAATCTTGAGATCCCATAATATGTTGTTCATGCTCGAAATATCCTGTTGCGGGGGGCGGGGGGTTATGTGTCACACATTGGACTAGTAAATTAGAACTTGTCTCCTTATATGTTTTTGATCAATTCTCATTTCGTTGAGTTAAACTATTAAGGTTGAGTTAGGTCAAAGTTTATTTTCTTACATGTCACAAGATAGTAACTGGTCATGCGATTTCAGAGGATCCATTCATCAGAAGCTTCAGTAGGGCACAGCTATAACTTGATAGACACAAGAGCTCGGAGGATTTTGAACGTTGAAACTGCTTCAAGAAATCGAATTTCAGTTCATGAAATCGGAGAAACTCCATTCTTCCATGCCAACATGTATCTGCATCTTCAAGTAAAACAGGTAACCACACCTTACTTCCAACAATGCAACCAACAGCCAAGGACCAGATTAATAGAAATTTAACCTCTGTCTATATTTTTGCTAACGAAGGCACAAGATGAGAACTCCTTGAGCAGGCAAACAAGAGCATCTTCTTTGCCAAAGGAATCAAAAAGTGATTTCTTAGCACTTCTTGGGGATAGCAATAATGAGAAGTATCCTATTTACATGACAGGTGGTTCATGAAAAATATTGCACATATTCATTCCTATATTGATACTTACTATTTTAATGAAAGAATGCTCTCTAACATCATTTCAGGTCCATTGCTATACACACTGTGCACAGCTGTGATAGATTTGGATGAGAAAACCTTATCAATTATAGAAGGGAACCCAAAGGAGAAACAAGAATCCTATGTCTTCCCATTATCCTAAAAGCAAGCTATGACGAAGACTTGGCGTCTTACGTGACTTTTCCTTGGATAGAGGATCCAGGGAGAAATTTTGGTACCATATAAAGATTGAAATCCAAAAACAGAAAAAGGTTTGCTCACAATAAACCTTTGTTTTGCGAGGGAATTTTTGATTTTAAGTGTCTGCTTTTCAGAGTAACTGAATATAAGAACACCAACAAAGTTCTGTAATAAAGCAGCTCGTGCAACGGTAGCACCAGTATCTCCATACTCAAAACTTGATAAATAAAAAGGTACAGGTAGCTCTTATCTCAAATATAAACAAGATCCTCTGTTAATTTCTGGTGGAAAGTAGCACCTTATTCTGTTATCTGGTGGAAAGTAGCAGCTTCTTTTTATGAGTAAACTACATAACATGTTGCTAACAGTGGACAATGTTGAAGAACCTAAGGTTTATCATGCCACCAGAATACAAGATGACCAACAGTTTAATACGGATTTAATTCCGACAACTACTATAACTATAAGAACACCATCCAATATGCATTTAAAGAAGAATAGTTTTCCATAATATGAATCTCCTATAATATTCACATGACACCAATTCTTCCCTTGAATTCTATGAACTAGTTGGAGTAACCGCAGGCAGTGGCGGAGCCACATGCACTCAAGACACCCCTTCGTCGAAAACTTATACTGTCTAGCTAGGTAATTTTAAAAAAGAATATATATATATATATATTATGTATTGACACCCCTTGACTTCTTTGTGAGTTTATTTCTTTATATTTGACCCCCTTAATGAAAATTCTGGCTTCGCCACTGGTTGCAGGGTTGTAAGGTGTAACGTACAAAATGAAGCATGTGAGCTATAGATATATAATTAGAAAAGAAATAACAAAATATCATCTATAATCAATGTTGCATGATACTTCTATTTGCTGCACTTGAAGAACATGATTCCCAAGGTGTCAAATCTAAAAGATATTACGCGAAACCATTATAAGAAGCTTTCTATTTTTTGCCACACTGAGATCCATTCAGGGCCGGCTGGAAGTAAAGCAGAGGCTTTAGGCCCCCAGCTTTTGAGGCCCCAGTTTAATTAATAATGTAGTTTTTATAGTTAATTTTTGTTAACAAAATTTTCTATTGATTATTGTATGGTAAAAAGTAACGTGTAAGATTTTTATTAAAAAATAAAAGAGAACCATTTAACCATGTGATTGAGTTGAAATTTTCATTCTAATATCAATATTCTTTTTCTTCTCCTTTCTCATAAGTAATAAAACTTGTACCGTGTACTTTCCTTTTTTCATTTTGTTAAGCTATCTATTCTCTCAAAAATAAAGGCAAAGACATTGAATAAATTAAATTGTGCATTTCTTTTCTTTTTCTTAAAGTTTTCAAGTCTTGCAACATGAGAACTGAATCAGTGAAATCTTGTAGTAATATCAATTTATCAACTTCTAAAATTAGGTTATATTATTCTAACTTTCTATTATCTTATAACTAAATTTTACATAGAGGTGTATATTATTTTTTATCGAATATTATAATTCAAATGTGTCAACTAAAAAAATATAAATCAAATGACTCAAAACACAGAAAAAAAGAGAGGAGAAAAGTTGAACTTTAATACAATCTCAAAAAAAGAGTAATTTAAACAAGGGAAAAGGGTCAAAAATACCCTTCTTGTCACGACCCAAAATCCAAAAAGGTCGTGATGCCACCGAACACCACAGTTAGGCAAGCCAATCATAATCAATTAACTTAATTACCCATTTTAGTGTTTTTAAAATAAAAATTTCTTCAATGAAATAGTAAAAATAAAACTCATTGAGTAAATGATAAATATTTTTAAAAACTAAATTTCTAAATAATTCACAACCATTCCCAAAACCCGGTGTCACAAGAGCATGAGCATTTACTAGGGAATTAAAATAAAATACAGCATCTGTCCAGAATACAAAGTAGACAGGAAAGTATAATAACTCTGACAGAGATTCTGTTAGCTGCGGATCGTAATATAGAATGCAGCTCACCTATGTCCCCACAATTATTAACCACACCTCTGCGCCCACAAGGCCGTTATACATATATGTACCTGCACAATAAAATGTGCAGCAAGTGCAGTATGAGTACGAAAATAACGTGTACCCAGTAAGTATCAAGCCTAATCTCGAAGAGGTAGAGACGAGATGGCCGACTATGACACTCACTATGGGTCAATAATATTAAATAATCATGAAAATAGAAATATTTATATCAACGTGATTCACAGAGTTAACAATAATTTTATTGAACCAGCAGAAGTAATTAAATTCCTTCAATTCCAATAATTCTCAATATATTAATTAAATTCCTTCAATTCAAATAATTTCTAATCTATTAATTAAATCCTTCAAATTCAATAAAAATTCCACCTTATCAAATAGCTTTACAAGCTGCAATTCAATTTTAATAAATTTTCAATTTATCAAATAACTTTACAAGCTGTAATAAACTGTCCAAGTATCGTATAATAATAATTATTATTAAGCACAATTTCTGCCGAGGTCGTACGGCCCGATCCAGAGTTTCGTGTACACTGCTGAGGGACGTGCGGC